CTGTGTTTTCTGATTTCCTGGTACCTGATTTTTGCCTGTTTATCTTGAGTTAACCCTTTGCCTGCTGTTTCGGACTGTGTTTGCACCTCGCCTGGACTCTAGCTCGTGTTATTGGATAACCCCTCATGTCAAGCCCTCTGGATATTGTTAGCAGCTTATCGACAACGCCCGTTTTGGATTACTCTTCTGTCTTGCCCTCAATATTCCTGTTTGCCATTTTCTGACCCATGCCTGTTTTATGACCACGTCTCTGTCTCCTATTAAAGCTTTGCAAATGGATCCGCAAGTCTCATGTCTCGTTCGCCCCGTAACTGACTCTATCAGGGTGACTGACCCTAGAAGATCATATAAGGAGAGAGAGAGATATTGTGTAGATTGTACCTGTCACCTGTTTATGTAACACTTAAAAAATAATAAATAAAAAAAATGGGTTATAAAAAATATTATAATTTCTAGTTTAAATTGAGTTCCCTTCTCTTTATAACTCATTTATCCTCTGCCATTCCCAAGTCAAGAGTCGTATATATACTGACCCAATAGCATATCTAGAAAACTAGAGTCAATCAACAAGTTTAAGCATCAGTGACCCAGAATTAGTAAGATTTGACTACATTTATTTCAGAAGCATTTTGTCTGTAGACCTGTGTAATCAATATCTAACATGATAAAATAAATAAATTTATACTACGGGGCCGTTGAATGCTTGAATCTGATTGGCTGACGAACGTTCTGAGGTGTACAATTATTTTCAGGGAAACGCACGGCGAACGTAGTTCCAGGCAGCTCTCTTGACCGCATTACAGTTCCATATCACTTCGCATAGTTAACTGTAATAACGGAAATTAGCATACAGTACCTATACAGCACACAGGAATTACTGCAATCACACGTGCTCGCACACGCACACTACGTGTAAAAAGGTGTTGTCAGCGCTGCCCTGACGATTTTATCAGTTAGCCTATATACGGGTGTGCATTATTTTTCTAATAATTCAACGGCCCGGAGTCAATTATTCCTTACATAAATAATGCAATCCATGTTAAATTTCATCTGCAACAACACTGCAAACTTTTATAAAGATTGTTCATTATCTTTTGAATGCATCATTATGCAATCATATGAACAGATTTCTCCCGTGAGTGGCAGATTAATGTACTGCTTTATCTGCAATACAGTAGGAAATTAAATAAAAAGTCAAAAATTTAATTATGCTGGATCATCAGATACGCCAGAAAAAGTGTGGGAGAGCGTCTGATGCCATCTGTGCAGTGCAATAACACGTTATCTGAGGAAATACAAACAAAGACACTCAAAACAAACTCACTCCTAGACAGTTTGTCACTATAGGACACTTTATGTGCGTGTGTGTGTGTGTGTGTGTGTGTGTGTGTGTGTGTCTCAGCTCTTACTCTCTGGGTTACTGAGGGCCTTGTAGATGAATTTGGCAGCTGGCAAGAAGTACTTGCTGATGTCAAACAAGTGGTCGTCCATTACAGGCACACCGTAGTAAGTGATGTTCATGCCTTTGTAATATTTGGCCCCAGTATTGACCTTTTCTAGCAGATCTTCCTTGCTTGGCATTCCTAACAGCACCTTCAGGCTCTTCTTCACAGCCGCAGTGTTCAGGATGTGAGTAACACCCATCTCCTTCAGTCGGACTCGGTCCATTGCTGTCTCGCTTATAAGCGGAATAATTGACTCCGGGCCGTTGAATTATTAGAAAAATAATGCACACCCGCTTCACGTCGTGGCCGCATCACCTCCTCGGGTGTGCATTATTTTTCTAATAATTCAACGGCCCGGAGTCAATTATTCCTTACATAAATAATGCAATCCATGTTAAATTTCATCTGCAACAACACTGCAAACTTTTATAAAGATTGTTCATTATCTTTTGAATGCATCATTATGCAATCATATGAACAGATTTCTCCCGTGAGTGGCAGATTAACAGGCACACCGTAGTAAGTGATGTTCATGCCTTTGTAATATTTGGCCCCAGTATTGACCTTTTCTAGCAGATCTTCCTTGCTTGGCATTCCTAACAGCACCTTCAGGCTCTTCTTCACAGCCGCAGTGTTCAGGATGTGAGTAACACCCATCTCCTTCAGTCGGACTCGGTCCATTGCTGTCTCGCTGCACAAGAACAAAGAGGATTTATGTACAATTATATAACTGCATTGTGTGATTACTGTATTACATTATTACCATATATACAGTATACTATATATAGTATATATATTACTATATATGTCATTTCTTTGATAGCGTGAAGTGTTGTAGACTTACTAATTTCCTATGAAGACATTGGGCCAGACCTCAGAGACTGGTGTCCAGTGCAGGAAACATTCGTCCAGGCGATCCAGCAGTTGGATCACGCTTTGACGGATTTTTTGCTTGACTTTCTGTTTTACAGCAGCTTGGATCTGGGACAGACGATTGCTCTGTATCAACCAGATCCACATCCGTTTCTGGCTCAGGATCACTTGGACCTGGGACACTCGATTGCTCCACATCATCCAGATCCACTTGAGGTTCTGGTTCAGGACAGTCTGGATCCGGGACACTCGATTGCTCCACATCATCCAGATCCACTTGAGGTTCTGGTTCAGGACAGTCTGGATCCGGGACACTCGATGGCTCCACATCATCCAGATCCACTTGAGGTTCTGGTTCAGGACAGTCTGGATCCGGGACACTCGATGGCTCTGGATCAGGTTCTGCTGAGACCCCAATCGGCTCCACTGTTTCTCTGGAAGCTTTTTTTCACAGCCTTCCATTTTCTTCTGAAGAATGAACAGATTTTGTTGATCTTCCTCACTTCATTTTTTTCTGATAACATGAAAACAAATAATAAGCTATTAGAAACATCTCTACGCACAGATTAAACATGAATAATTATAGTTTAATTTGTAAGACTGTCTGAATAAGCTGTTTGACTTTAACAGGGTCAATGGGCAATTGTTGCATTTAGCTCCATGATACACATTAGATTTGGTGAATTAATGGATCATGATGTAAACACTGGCCTTTATATCAAAATGACATGCAAAAATGAGCATATAAGGAAAACTGCAGACAGCATTTGTTTTTGGATCTCAGTGTATTGTTTTTGAAATGTACTGTTGACTTTCACCTGTCGGGTTTCTCTCAATGGTTTCAGGAGAAACAGTCATGTCAGTCTGATCTTTGCCACTGCTGCCCCCTGCAGGCTCAGTCAGATCTTCAGGTGCTGTCAAGACTGTGTGTGACTCTGTAGTCAGATATGTATGAATATCTGAATACTCTGGCATCCGTAAACAGTGTTTCTACGGTCTGTATCGGTGCTCTGTGACTGAACTTCACAGATTCTGCGAGCGCGCGTCTCTTTATAAAACAGCCTGTCTGATGACATAATCAAAGTGGCGCATCTTGCTGTAGTTCCACAATTGCCATTATTTTTACACGTGCATCTGTTTGTTCTGCTGTCCGAGTTTAACAGGGCAGAGGACTGTGAATTTACAAGATTCGAACCGCTTCCTGAACCAGTCTGGCCAAGCGAGGCTTCGGACGTCATCAATGACGTCATTGCTCTAAAGCGATACAAGCCTCGATACGCGCTTCACTGAAAGCTGCCGCGATTTCTCGACACGCGTTCCGAAGCCTCGGCACAGAACGTAACATCACTATAGTAAAGCACGTTGAAGTTGATTTAAAATAAAGAATAATTATAATTTGAGACCTTTAAGAGCATTTTGAACCACCGTATTTCATGATAAATACAACACGTATATATTTCAATTATGAAAATTATTTAATTATTAAATTTGCAGCAACCCTCTCATGACTACACAAAAATCTTTTAAAAACAGTTTGATTTTCTACATTTTATGATGGCCAAAAGGCACTGAATAACAGGAATGACAGAAATCTAGGGGATTGCTGCTGCTGTCTGATTTCTTTGATTTCTAGCTCATCTTCTTCGGGGTGGAGGATTGTTTATTTGATGATCGGAGCTGGCGTACAGACTACTTTGGGGTTTATTTCTATTTCCTGGGTGACGTAGTCAAAATTTCTACAAGTAGATGAACTTGGGCTTGTGTGTTAGAAACCTGTAATGCTCCGTGCCACATCATCAATTGTAAACAGTGCCTGGGCACATTCCCGGGACCCGTTTCAATAAGGAGGTTCAACCAACTCTGAGTTTAAACTTGAACTCTGAGTTGACTTACCCTGAGATGGGAAATTTTTGGTTTCAGAACAGCTAAATTGTGTTAGTTCAGTCGACTCGGAGTAGGTTGACTCTGAGTTTAGCACGTGCACCACGACTATGAGAAGTCATGATCAGTGGAGCTCCGAAATTACGATTCACCATGGCAACAGCTCCCGCCAAAAAGATGTCCGCATACTTCCGAGTCAATGTGTAACTCTAATCTTAATAACTGTTATAATATCAGAGGTGAAAACTGCAAATTATTGAACTAATATTCATTTTAATGGTATCCCATGGCGAAAAAAGAAAAGAAAAAGAACGTAGCAGCATCTAAAAATGAATTATGAAAACACAATTCAATCAAGGTAAAGCTTTAAGCATAAAAGTTTCATGGTTGTAGGCTACAAGACTTTGAATGATATTTAATATGTCAAATGTTTGCAGTGTCTATTTCAATGCGCAGAAGCTTTTTCCACATAGTTTAACGCTCTTTTCACATAGGCTAATTAAATGTTACATTTCTTAATTAGAGTAATGAAATTAACATCTGACATGTTCTCAGTCAACAACAAGAAGAACCTGCACCAGCACCACTGACAGATGACGAGGAGATGGTCAAGTAGAAGAATTTTAAAACCCAAAAGGAAATTAATAACTGTTGCTTTTGTATTTGTAGGAAATAAAGATGACTAAACAAATGATGAATAATTTGTGTTTATTTAACAGCTGTGGTGGTGGTTACAGCATATATCTCGTACTACCCCTCCTTCTGGCATCCTTCCATTCCATACAGTAATCTGATTCATTTTCAGAAGGTGCAATGGTGAGAATATGCTTGTCATCAATGCATCCAAATCCTGAAGGAAATTCTGCTTACTTCCAGAGGTCACAGAACGTCAGTGAACGTCATTTATCAGATTAGCCTCATTTAAACCAATTTCTACAACACTGACCTACAGTCCTGTGAAACTCCTCTTTGACAGATTTGTGCCCAGGGAAAAATTCTCAGAACGAGCGTGAGAGCAACGCACACTTTCCTTATCAGTCTGCATAGAGCGGCCTTACTAATGTGCTCTGCATCTCCGGTGTTTTATAGAAAACTACCATTTAAAATGGTACTGCATGTGAATATTGCAAAAAAAAAAAAAAAAATTCCCTACTAATTTGTGCAGCCTCCTCGACTACAGTATCCTGTATAAAAGGAAATGCCATGTTTGTCACTTTGACCGTGTCTGCATGATGAAAATATGTGCAATGAATACATACCT